AGTTATCATAACTACCAGATGCTAAAGTAGTTCCATCTGGGGAGAAGCATACTGAATATACAGAACCATCATGACCATCTAATTTGGCTTTTTATTATCCTGTTTTAACATTCCATAATCTGATTGAGTTATCATAACTACCAGATGCTAAAGTAGTTCCATCTGGGGAGAAGCATACTGAATAGACAGAATCATCATGACCATCTAATTTGACTTTTTATTATCCTGTTTTAACATCCCATAATCTGATTGAGTTATCCTAACTACCAGATGCTAAAGTAGTTCCATCTGGTGAAAAACATACTGATGTGACAGAATAAGTATGACCATCTAATTTATTTAGTTCATGTATTTTTATATTTCTCCACTAACAATTTAACAATAGAGCTCCATTTAGATTTACTCCACTAATATCAACATTTTCAAATTCTGATCCACTAAAATTACATCTAACAAAATTTGCACCTATCAAACAACAATTTTTAATCCTAATGTTTTCAAAACAATGGTTTGTCAGTTCAATTTTCAAACCTACCAATAAATTTAGTCCATTTGATCCACATTAAATAAATTTTTCATCAACAGTTGTAAGTTAAACTAAAAATTTCAAAAATTAGACTATTTAATCATCTTTTGATATTTTTATTATTAGATCTTTTCTATATTATTCATAATAATCTTCAGAATAGTTTTTATGATTAAAGTCATGATCTTTAAGTTTTTTTAAAATATTCACCATTTTCATTAAATTATTTTTCATAACATCTTCTTCATCGACATCTTTATTAATTATCGCTTTTAAAATTAATTATAAACAATGTATTAGATTTTCTTCATCTGATAGAAATAGTAAACAGTCTGAAATATTTTCTTTTCTCAACATCTCAATTGTCACCTTATATACTGATTAGTCGACATCTTTGGATGAAGCTAATAAATCGTACAAATCGTTCTTCCATTCCATTTCTTTTTTAAAATAAATATTATTGAATTTCTATTACTTTTATATTACCTTTTATATTATGAATCGAAAATATCTTATACATTAAAGTTAAGATAAAGACAAAACATAGTTAAAATGAGGCTTTGAATGTTAATGATGTAAAATCAACACATTTTCAATGATAAGGACTTATGCATAGCTTGAATCTTTCAAAATATAGAATTAAATAGATAACTAAATTTTGAAAATTTATAAAAATAATTAATTAGAGGAGTGTTCTTTATTTAATAATTATTTTTTGTAAAGACAATTTATATAATGTTTTCACCCTACGATCATGATTTCTTTATAAAATTATTTATTTGATTACATAGTTTTTAAGCATTTATTGATAGACAATTATTGGATACAGCACTCATGTAACTGAAAGTATAAAATCTAATATTAATGTTTTTTGCAAAACATTTTTAAATTTTACTTTTAGGAAGTGTTTTGGAAAAATTTTTTTAATTTATTTATCTAATTATGGCAAGTTTATTTTCTTTTCAAACCTAATCCTGAACTTTATTTACCATTTTTTAATTTATTTTAACTTTATAATGTTTTATATAACATTAAGTAGTAATAATATTTAAGTTGTTTTTTCAAAAATTATATGTACATAACATGTTAACATGTGTGATTTCTTTAACTCTAATAAGCTGATTTCAAACATTTATCAAAAGAATCTTTACTCATCAATCTCTTTCTACTATCTTTGTTCAAGATAAGCTCAACCCTTTTGTTATAGCACTAAAGACCTAAATTCTTAAGGTTATTGTAATACATCAAAAAATGAAAAAATTTAAAATTAGAGAATTCTATTTAACTTCTAAAATCATTAGAATGAATTAAATCGAAAAACTTATTATTGAATAAAAATAAGATCATTAAATTCTAAATACCTGCTTTAAAATATTAAGTGAAAGCTTCAATTGAAGGTGGTTAGGTTACTTTTTGGTAACTTTGGATGATTCAAGATATATAGCAGAAAGTACTATTAAATCGTCTGATCTATATGGATTTATACCTAAACATCTGACTGGTGCATTAAAATGGTTGCCAAGTGTAAATAATCTTCATAAAGAGATTTCATTTTAACCAACCAAAATTTAGTTTTAGAATGCAGATTTAAATGTAGGTGATGATATTACAAAAAGTATCCTCCATTTAAAAAGCCAGTTTAGAAAAATTGAAAAATCTGATCCTCTGTAGCCTTCAACAGTATCAATAGTAATGAGCTTCTAAAAAAGTAGCAGCTTAATAACTAAAAAACAACAAGCTATTGTAGAACAATAAGTACTTAGAAAATTTTAAAATGAAAAGCGAAAAAAATTAAAAAATGTTGAAATGAAATAATCATTTTTTGTAGAAAAATGCAAGAATAGTGGTATTTTAAAAAAAGATAAAGTGAAATCAATATTTTTATAACAATGTGTAAAAGTTGAATTAGATTTTGATGAAAATATTTTTTCAGGTGGTGATGTGTTTGATGGTTCAAACTTATTGAATTAATTTATACACTTGACATTTAACAGATAAAATGGTGTGCAATTATTTCTCCAAAAATTATAGATTTAAATATCATCTTTTCTTTTCGCAAAAAGAAAAAGATGGAGATTATCGAAAATGATTCAATATTATTTAATTAGAAGGATACTAATGAAGCAGAATAATTCTTAACAGTTTAAAATAATTTTTCAGAAAAATTTACTTCAAAAACCTTAGACATTTCCTTTGGATGAGTCTAACCAAAAATTAAATATCAATTCGATTATATAAATAAATTTATTACATAATGTCAGAGCCAATTAATATTAAATTGTTAGTTGTAGGAGATGGATCAGTCGGAAAAACTTGCATATTGTTAAGGTATCTTAAAAAGTTTTATAAAAATCAGCTATACAACAGATAAATTTCCAACTGAATATGTACCAACCGTATTTGACAATTATCAATCAAAAGTGATGGTTGATGGAAGATAAGTTGATTTAAGTTTATGGTAAGCATTTTTTTAAACATAGGGACACTGCTGGTTAAGAGGGATATAATAATATTAGATAATTAAGCTATGATAACACTGATATTTTCCTAATAATATATTCTGTTGTAGAAAGTAATTCATTCTCAAATGCGTTGCATAAAGTAAGGCTTTTATTTGATTTTAGTGGTATCCAGAATTGAACAAAGATAAATTTGAATCTATACCAAAAATTCTGGTTGGCAATAAAATTGATATGAGAAATGAAGGAAATTCAAATCATGTTAAAAAAACTGCGGTATATCTAAATTAATATCAGAAAGGCTGAATAATTAGTAAAAGACCTAAATTGTTAATTATTTGAAGTGTCAGCATTAACTCAAGAAGGTCTTAAACCATTATTTGATACTGCAATTTAAATTGCTTTAAATAAAAAATTGAAGGCTCTTAATGATGCTCAAAAACCAAGTCAACCAGCTAATGATTCTTAATGTTGCCAATTAATATGAATGTTAATGATAACAATATTTGATATAATTTAAATTTACTATTAATGGATCCAGAAGAATAGCTGGAAAAGCTCTTAGAGGTTTTTTATGATGAAAAACTTGAGCCTAAAAAAGAAGCAGCAAAATAAATTCTTGGATTGGCAACTTAATAACAAAATTTAGAATACTTGATATCACATGGTATTACCTCAATAAAATAATTTTCCATTAGAATAACTATTATCCACACTTTCACGAACTTTAAGAGACGAGCATAAGAAATCAACTGAACTTACACTTTATTTACTCTGTGTGTTTTATATTTTATCAAATTATTTGGAATTCCACTAAATACTATCAGAACACCAAATTGGAGATATAACCATGAAAATAATTGAATCATAAATTTAAAGGTTTGACTTGAGATATGCTGAATTGATGGAAAAATAAGGTCAACCTTAATAACTACAGGAATTGAGAAAGTTAAATTTGATGATTGCAAAATAAGAAAAATTATTTTATGTTGGATTCACAATATTAATGAATATGGCTGAGGATCCAATTATTGAAAATAAAATGAGAAAAAGAAAAATCATAACATTTCTTTTAAGAATGCTTGAGAGAAATAATTTTTATTTACTTATTGTAACTTTATTATTTCTCAAAAAATTAAGTATAGTGAATGAATGTAAATTGTAAATGGTTGAAGAGAATTGTATAAGAAAATTAAAACGATTTTTTAGTGCTGATAATAATGTTTTGCTCTAATTAAGTTTAGGTAATAAAAACATCAACTAATTTAGGGTTATTAAAGAATTTATGTTTCGATTCTGAAGCTCGATTATAAATTGAATAAAATGGATTCATCCCAGATATTGTAAAACTATTAAAAATACCAAATTACAGATTTGTGTCAATAGTTTTATTATATTTACTCACTTTAGATGATAAATTGAGATTAACTTTCGGATTCACAGAATGCATGACCTTAGTTGTGAAATTAATGTTACATTTTCCAGAGCCTATTATAGGCAAAGAATTAATTGCTTTAGCAACAAACTTATCATCTAGTTCAAGAAACGTAGACCATATTACAGAATAAGAATTTCAATAAATAGTTTAAAGGGCTTTAACAAATGGAGATACTTTATTATTTAGATTTATAAAAGGAGTAATTGAGAATTCTACTAACCCAGAAATTTAAACATGCGCTAAAAGCTTTGTTAGACATTTTATGAAATTACTTGTTACTTAAGGAAAAGAAGAAGATTTGAAATTTGAAATTATTGGAATAGTTAGTTCAATATAATTAAATGAGAATTGGGTTAAATTATTGACAGAACCTTTTATAGAATTTTTACATAATAATTTAGCAGTAGGAATGGTTGATGATGATATTGTTTTAGAAACTATAATGCTGGTCTCCTAAATTGCTTCTAATTCTAAAGCTGTTGAAATTCTATTTAATAATAATATTTTGAATGCTTTATCTTAAGTTTTTACAGAAAAAGTAGATGATGATGAATTTATTGTGCAATATCTATATTGTTTACATCAATTTCTTTATCACAAAATTGGAATAGCTTAAATTTTAGCTTAGTAAACTATTAGTTTTAATTTAGGGATGACATATTATTATAAATGATTTAACAATTAAATGATAAAAATTAAAAAGTTAAATAAATGTCGTAAGAAGTATTGGATATTTTAAGAGAGTATGATTAGGAATTATGTGAAAAAATTAAAGAGACTAAATTTTGTGAATACAATTAATTATGGGTAGAACACATCAATGAATAAGAAATGATGTAGATATATTATCTAAATTTAGGTTATAAGAAGGAGGTGATATGGCATTTGAAGATGAGTATGGAGGTAATGAGCTTGACCCTAAAATGTGGGATTCAGATAATGATTGATAATGTATTTACATTGAATTTCAATTAGAAATTTTTTGTCATTTTAATAAGTTACAATTCATGTTAAAATTATTTTATGAAGAATTATTTGAATAAATAATTTAGAGAAATATTTAAAATATTCTAATTTGAATAATGAGCGAAGAAACAGCTTAAGTTAAATAAAAGTGTAAAAAAGCTCCAAAGAAGAAGGCAGAATCAAAAACCACCTAAAATTCAGATCCTCCTGCTGTTACTTAAATAGACAAAAAAAAAAAACAAAAGCCTTCAAAAAAGGTATAATGAGCAAGCCCACCAAAAAAAAAAGATGATAAAAAATAACCAGATAAAAAGGTCAAACAGCCGCTAATTAAGGAAGATGTGGACTCCTTACTTGAATATTTTAAATCATCAAATAGACCCTTTACTGTAAATTATTTGAAAGACACATTATTTTTTTTAAATTAAGTACACTTCAAAAAAATATTGATACATTGGTCTCTAAAGGTGATGTAGTAATGAAAGAAATAGGTTCAACTAAAGTATTTTTAATTAATCAAGCGTTGATGCCTACAGTAAATCAATAAGATTTAGAGATGCTCGGAAGTGAATTAGAATAAAAAACAGAAGAATACAAGTAAATTGCTTAATAAAATGCCAAACTAAGTGATTAACTTAAAAATTTATCTAAAATACCAACATTGTAAGAATTGTTGGACATAAAAAATGAGTTTAAATCTAAAATTAAAGAAATAGAAAATAAATTATTGTAGTATGAAGATAAAAATTATAAAATGGCTACTGCAGAGGAAACTTTATTAGTAGAAAATGAGTACTAAAATATGATGAATATTTGTAAAAAGAGAAAAAATATTTATCATGAAGCAATTGGATCATTGCTTTCTGAAAGCGATTTGACAATTTAATAATTTGAGAAAATAGTTGGTAATTTTAGAGATTGATTATTTATAATAAAATATTTACTAAATGGAAAATGGTACCAATTTGATTCGAATGAATAGAGATTTAAGATTTAATGGATTGTAGTAGACAGTTGAAGGAAATATTAAAGTAAAAGATGTAAAATTCTAATTGGCCCAAAAAGCTGATACATTTCCTTAATTATTAGTGGCATTTACAAAATTTGGCATTTTAGAGGATGAAACTGAATTATTTAAAATATATGATAACATATATGTATATTCAATAGGGTATTTAATTGAAAAGTAAAATTAAAATATTCAATATCATAAATAGATTAAAAAATGAAGTCTATAATAAGAAATCTAATCCCAATAATAATTCCATTTAATTGAGCACAATAATTAGGTCTTTTAAAGATAGAAAGTCATTTGATGAAATAGATAACTAGTTTGACTAAAGATAATACAATAGCGTGGTTATTTTTAAAAAAAATATAAAAATGGAATCGATTATGTTCAAGAATAAATAAAAAAAAAATTGCAAGAAGATTCAAATTTGAAAAAGGAAAGCAAAAATAATAGTAATATACATTATTATTGTCAAATTAAAAAAACTGAAGAATCAATAGTATAGAAAATATTATTATAATAAGAAGAGTTTTGAGGAAATAAGAAATTCAAAAAGCTCTATATCCCATTAAAAATAATAAGGTTCAAGAATCTAGAATCTATTATAATTTAAACTCACATACTAAGGAATTTTAAAATTAAATACAAAAATACGCAGATATGATTGAATAGAGAGACTACTAAATAAAACAATAATACTAAGTTAACTAATCTTCTACTTTAAAAATTTAAATTCCGTTTTAATAAATTGAAAATCAAGATAAATATATCATCAGATTAAAATAATAGGAGCTTAAATACATTAAATTATTAGTAATAATTTTATTTATATAAGGGTACTATCTCAGAATATCTATAAAAGATAATTGGATAAATTTAATAAAAATTAGACAGGTATTTTAATAATATTTAATCAAGAAAATAGAAGCAGTAATAAGAAAAAGAGAAAAGTTCTGCTGAATTTCTAACAAGATAAATCTAATAGATAACTGATATCTAATAATTTAAATATAAACAAATCAGCAGATTAGAAAAAGAAGTAGTAGTATTTGATTATTTCGTCAGCTTTCTCATTTTGAATACTTTTAACAAACAAATTGAATTTCAAAAATTAAACGCTTAGAAGAAGGCAGCCCTGTAAAATTAACATTTGAACATTATTTACAAATTAACAATAGGATGAAAAACTCAGATATTTGAATTTTATTTAATCTTTAATTTATACTTTATTTTAATGAAATTAATTAATATTAAATCATCAGATAATAACATTAGCGACTCATTCAAAATCAAATCGGAAACTATTATCCAATTCTAAAAATTCTGCAGCTTAAATTAAATCATCAATGGATTAATTTAATAATATTGTTTCTGTTAATTGATTTTGTAAATCGATTAATTTACAATTCAATATTTGATCTAATTTCGAATTAGATATAAAAATTTATTGTTATTTAATCTTAGTCTTTATGTAATTCTTTTATAGATTATGTCAGAATAGAATTAAAAATGATATACAGGATTCAAACTCTGTGGAATTTTCATCAAATACAACATCAAATTTGTTATATATCTACATTTCTGATTTATATTATTGCAACTTTTGCCAAATATTTTAAAATTAGGATGAATATTTTGTGAAATTTGATTAAATCATAATTTAACCTGGTTAAAACTAATGAGAAATTTTATATTTATCAAAACCTGTAATATCAAAAAGGATTAGATACCTAAATAGCTTAATTTTATTACAATATCTTAAGTTTATTCATTTTAATCATTATATTTTTAATAGAGAAGAACAATTATTTATCTTTTTGGCAGTCTTCTTTCTTAGGCATTGAAGAATAACAAATACTCTTAGAAATCTGATATTTTGGTTATTGGTGCATTTGCAACTAGAGAATAATTAGAATAACATCAAGGACAAAAATAGCTTTTTAAATTTTTATCAACCTACTTTTTTAAAGAAGGAAAGGAAAAAAGTGCTTGACTAAATACATAGAAGCAAAAAAAAAGCAGAAAACCTAAATGATTATACCTTAGGGATTATAAACAAAACATATTAGTTAAGAAATTTAATAATTAGCTGAAACAAGTACAAAACTTATTAAATTTAATGTAGCAAAAGCAAAATCTGCAAATATAGAAATTCCTCATAGCGATAATAACACATTTGATGGTTTGATTTCTTTATGTATAATTCCATTCTATTTTAAAAATTAATACGCTTAAACTAATCCAAAAATAATGTTCTAAGTTTATTATTTGGAAAGCTTTCCAATTTTATTTAATTTAGGAACTAAATCTCCTCACAAAATTCTGTAATTAAATAATTATAATTTTATGTTTAAAATACCGAGATTTAAAGTATACCATTACTTTATACAGTCTATTTATTTACTATCAAGAATGCTTAATGATTTTATTTCACTTGCTAAAATTTAAGAAGTGCTTTATCAATTCCTTAAATAGCTACTGTTTCTCCTGTCATTTAATTTTATCGTTTTTATATTTTACTACTAAATCCTTTTCCGATTTATTAGTGGAAACCATATGAAAAGTACTCTATCATCTTTTTCACCTTTAATGAAGAGCTACTTAGATTTAGAGAATGTAATGAGCCACCTATTTTAATGTTAAATACTTTATTTTAACGATCTATTTTTATTAATAAAAATATATTTCACATCAAATGTCACAAAATAATGCTAATTTCTAAATCAAAGATGCTTAGATTGAAAAATTTTTTGACACTCTTAAAAAGGAGCCTTTAGGTTCTGGAAGAAATTCTATAGTTTATTTAACTCAGCATCGATTATCAAGTGTATATTTTGCATTAAAAGAACCAAGAAAAGATTAATTGTCTCAATAATCAATTATCGTACAATAATTATGATATGTAGTCTTTGTAATCAGAATGAAATCAATATTTTCATCAAGTTATGGCAAAATAATAACTATGAATTTCCAAGATGCATACCTTACATGGAAAAATTTTCAGAGACTCATCAAATATTAATGGAATATATGAAAAATGGTTCATTATTAGACATTTTATTAACAAGCGGAAAATTTGCAGAAAATTTTGCACGCACAATTGCAATAAATTTATACAATCAAATAGGGCTTTTACATAGAAATGGAATAATACATTTTGATTTAAAACCTGATAATCTTATGTTTAATGAGAATATGATGTTAAAAATATGTGATTTAGGATATGCAAATAAACCTATAGGCTTTACATAAGGATATGCTTCTCCAGAATAAATTCAAAATAAAATTATCGATCCCGAAAAATGTGATGTGTTTGCTTATGGAGTTATAATATTTATTCTTGTTATGGGGTTTCCTCCTTTTTAACATTATCAAGATAATTGGTACAAAATGATTTCAAATTAATAATGGGATTCATTTTGGAGCTAAATTAAATTAAATGGAAAACCTGATCCCTCAGAAGAGTTTAAGGATTTAATTTAAAAAGTCATTGCTGTTGATGTAAATAAAAGATACAATATGTAAAATATATCTACTGCAGCATGGTATACTTTAGAAAAAGTTTCAGATTTAGAATGTACATAGGAGTTACTCAAGAGAATTAAATTGAGGAATGTAGGATATTATAAATATTGATTCTTGATTTTAAGTCATTCATAATTCACATTATGTATTTAGTTATACCATTGTCATATGGGTTAATTCAATATTTTGCTTGAAAGTAAGCAATTCACTATCATTCCATATTATTAAATGTTTTATTTTAATTAAACTAAAATAGTATGTTATTTAATTATTTTTGCTTATAGTGTTTATAATAAATCATATTTATTTAATCGACATTAAAATATAGAGAGATTTATTTGTAATGTCAGGCAACAAACTTATAAAATCAAATTCCTAAATATAATAAGTTATATTACATCATTACTTTATAATATTTCAACTTTTCCTGCTATTTCTTAGGATAGATTAATTGCATTAAGTTATTACATTTCTAAAGATATAACATTTAAAGCTTGTATTTACCGACGACATGTTTAAAAAAATAATAGAGCACATTCAGGTAATTACAAAATAGTGCAACAAATAAGATTGTCTTACATCCTTTCATTTATAATTTCTTCTAGTTAATCTTGACTTACGCTATCAACCACTTAAATTTATAATTTTATATACTTTGCATTTCAATAGTATTATTCATTGCTTATCTTGGATTCAATTTTTTAAATAAAATTGAAATTTAGTTCCTGTTCTCAAGAATAATACCAACTATTTTTTTATCTGGCTAACTACAATAAGGCTATGCAAATACCCAATAAAATCTTTAATATCCATATACAATTTGTGAAAATTACTGTTAGAAATTACTTATTCATTAATTACTAAATCCGTGATATCATTCTATTCGAAACAAATAATCAATTAACTTGTATTTATTGGATTAGTTATAATCTAATCTATTCCCAAATGGTTCATTTTTAAAAATTATTTAAGTTCTCCCCTTTGTAATAAGATAAATTAATTGTTTTAATTGATATGTTAATAGGATTAGTTATCACTTCTAACTGATTGATTGCCCTATTTGCTAGAAATTTATGAATATTTCAATAAGCTATATCTCTGTTATTAGACCTCTACATGCTAACTCTTGGTTGATAATGATTAGATTTGTCTCTGATAGGTAAATTCATTTGATTATTTGAGAATTGGCCTTTAAGAATATGATAATTATTCTAAAATTCTTCGTTTATCTCTTTCTCGATCTAAGCATCCTCCCATAATGTTATGCAATAAAAAAGAAATTTTTTTTTATGAAACTTAATATTAAAATAATAACCAATTCCAAAAATTAACTCATAGGATAAGACTTTGAGAAATAGATCCCTTCTTTTATTAAATCAATTTAAAAAAATTATAAAATTCAATTTCTATATATTTTCAGACAGTTTATATTATCATAACAATTATGGAGATTCTAAGTTTTTTGGAGATCTTGATATATAAAGCAGTATATAACATTTAATATCTGAAATCGTAAAAATTTCAAAAACAAGAAGATTTGACATTATAAAAATGGAAATTACTTAGTTACGAGTATTCAATTTAGCAACTCAAAATTTTTATTGAGAAATTTTTTTAAGCTCAAATAGCACGAATTATTAAAATTAGATTGTATGTTTGAGCATCTAAAAGAGATCAAAACTTTTTTAGGATCAGAAATTTAAGCAAAATTGATGTTGAAATAAGATATCTTAAATAACTTCATGCACTTATCAACATAACTGAATTGTTATCATCATTATCAATTGAATAAATATCAATTGAATTAATATTATTAAAAATGACGACGCTTTCAGCAAAATTAACCAAGTTAAAATGCTCTCTTCACCAAGAACATAATTAATCAATTGCAGCTGTTTGTTTATCTGAAAATTGTAATGAAACTAAGAGAACTCTTTGTTCTTTTTGTTTATTATATAACCATCAAGGACATTAGGTTATTGAATTAACTTCACTCGGAAACATGATTAAAGAGGGACTTAAAAAATAAAATGTATTATCTTTTTCATCAACCTGTATAAGTGAAATGCGTAATTGCTTAAAATTGATTACTCAAAAAATTTAATCACTATCTTTAACTTTTAAAGAAATTAAAAAAAGATTTAAAGAATAATCTTCAATAGAATTGATTTATAAGTAACTATTCATTAATTCAATTAAAAAAGAACAAGAATTGGAAACGATAATTTATTAGTTAAAATTATTGTTCATTAACAATTAATTTATATAAACTCCAAATTATTATTAAGAACAATTATTTCTCTAAACAAAACAGTTATCTTTAAATACATCTTTTTTCTTAGGATCTTTAATATTAAATTAGAAATTACAATTTACTGAAGAATAGTATTCAAGAGCTACTAATTGTATAAGAAACATAAATGAACTATTCTAGCCATTTAACTATAATTTATAGAATGATTATTCAACTATTCAAAGCATACAAGAGATAAAAGTAAAATATATGGATGTTAGCTCATAGACTGATATATTCTAATATCAAAACTAGCCATAGCTCAGTCAATATCTTCAATGGAATTTAGGATTATACTTAAATTTTGATGAAAATATACTAATATCAAATGGATTTGTTAAGATATATGAAAAATTAACTTTGTACCCTTTCACTGAAGAATTATTAGATAAACTTTAAACTAGTTGCTCAGAAAATACAATTTTGTGTATAGGAGGTAAAAAAAATAATGAAAAGAATAAATTGTTATTGTGTGCGATTGATTTTGCTTAAGAATTATTTATGACAACGAATGTATCATTATAAGCAAGAAAAAGCTAAAATACTGATATATTTTGGTATCATTACAAAAATAGATGTTTTGGATTTTCAAAAAATGAAAAAATAAGTGCATCAAATGCCACTGCTGATGAATGTTAAATATAGTCTGAATATAGATTTTGCATATGGTTAGATGGAGATATTGGTTTTAGGATTGGGAACAATAGAAATTTAAAATGTAGTAATGAATATAGTTACGTAATATTTTAGAAATTATGATTAATTTGTTACAAATGGCGCTTTATTTTTTTAATTCTCTAAATATAATAAATATTTTAAATTAAGATTTATATAGATTTATTAATAAATCTAATTTATTATTATAATAAAATATTAAGATTGAATTAAATGGATAAATAGAATTAAAAAGCTAATCTAATCATTTTCAAAAAGAATTAATTGTATTTTTGATGAACAAATAAACTATTTAAGTTTTATATACTTTTAGCTAAGGGGGTATATTAAATAATAAAATTTATTATTAATTAAGTTCTTTATAATTTGATAAAGGTGAATACATTGTTGAATGCGTAAAAATTGTTAAAAAATGAAGTTTGCTCCATTGTGCTGCACTATTTTGGAAGCAATTTAGTCATTTTTTATGTGGGACATCCAATCAAATGAAAGATATAGGATTATCCTTAATCAGCCAATCAAATTTAAAATTTCTATTTAAAAATTAGCGCTAGGGTTTTCAGTTTAAAATATTAATAATAATGGCTCCATCAAAATCACCAAAAGCAGAAGCAAAAAAGACTGTAAAAACAGTTAAGACTAAAAAATCAACAGATGATAAGAAAAAGGCAAGAAGAAGATAAGAGACCTTTGCCTTATATATTTACAAAGTGTTAAGATAAGTGCATCCAGAAATTGGTGTTTCAAGAAAAGCTATGAATATTATGAATTCATTCATCAATGATATTTTTGATAGAATTGCACTTGAAGCCAGCAAATTAGTCAGATTTAACAAAAGAAGAACATTAAGTTCAAGGGAAATTTAAACTGCTGTCAAATTATTACTTCCAGGAGAATTGGCCAGACATGCTATCTCTGAAGGAACAAAAGCTGTAACAAAATACACAAGTGGCTGATTATATAAGTTTAATTAAGTACAAATATAAAAAAGTGGTCTTTTGTCATGTTTTAACAAGTCTCTTTATTTGGTTTTTTATTTTAATGATTTTATAAAATATTTTTCTATAATGTGTATTAATTTCGAAGCGACATAAATAGAAGCCATCTAAAAAATGGAAAAAAGAGCTGAAATTATTAATAGAAAAGGGTAAGCATTTATTTGTAAATTACGAATGCTAATTTTAGTATTATTTTACTATTTTTAAATTTGATATGGCTTGATATTGATAATTTAATGAGCAACATTTGATATGAATAAAAAAAATAAGAAAAAATGGTCAATTTGAGATGAAAAAGATGATAATAATAAAATTTTGAAATGAAAGAATTTTGAGTTGATTTTGTGTAGATAATTTATTTCCAAACCTACTAATAGTCATTTCATGAAAGGAAATGACTACTTACGAATCTGGAATGCAATTTGCTTTATAATTAATTGAAATATTTAATGGCCATGTTTTGATCATCAAATAATCACAAAATTAATTATATTAATTATTATAAATAACAAGAATAATATTACGCAATCAATGTCAGGAGCAGAATCTTTCGGAGTAGTTTCAATAACAGTTATTGTTGTATTATTCCTTTATGCAATTTCAGGAGCATTCTTTGAGCATAAACATGTAAAGAGTTTATATAAATTTTTAGTTTCACTTAATTCATGAGACAGGTTTAGGAATAATAATGGGAGCACTAAGTGGATTAATATTTCATCTTTTATTTAAGGACACATTGAATTCATTAGTACATCATATTTTTATAGTAGTACAATTTTAATGGTACATTCTTTTTTTATATTCTTTTACCAATAATAATCTTTTGTGGAGGTTACAACTTGAATAAAAGAAGGTTAATTATTATTTAAATAATTTTAGATTTGCATAAAACTTCTTTTATATAATGTTATTTGGATTGTTTGGGACTATATTTACATTTATTTTTATATTACTATTCACTTACATAGTGAATAAAAATAGTAAAAATCTATATTTAATTTTAGAATTGATATAAGTATCCTTTAGTGATGAAATAATAGATTTAAAATTTGAAAATATGATGATATTCGCAGCAACAATATGTGCATCTGATAGTGTAGCAGCATTGACTATGATAAAACCAGGGAAATATCCTAAATTATTTAGTGTTGTTTTTGGAGAGGGAATGGTTAATGACGCTGTATCCATTATTCTATTCATATCAGTTGAATTGATAAGCGATTAAAACGCAGAAACATGGAAAATGCCTTTTGAATTAATTTTGTTATTTGTTGAAGAGTTTTTTGGAAGTATGGCAATTGGTATAATATTTGGTATACTTTTTATATTATTATAATATAGGATTATTTACATCATTTTTATTTAAAAGGTTAAGATTTCTTGCTGAATCAGTGGTTCTTGAAATAATGATTTTATTATATACTGGATATGCTAGTTTTGCAATATGCGAGTTGTTAGAATTAAGTGGTGTAATCAGTGTTTTAGTTTGTGGAATCATTTTGGCACATTATAATTTTTATAATCTTTGTAACATAGGGTAAATTTCATCGAAGTATAAATTTGTTAATAAAAATTTAGAGTTACTTTAAATTCATTGTCATTATTTTGTGAATCTTTTATATATGTTTACTTAGGTTTAGCTTTATGGGGAATAAAGGGAGATGAAAGTAAAGGAATTTAAACCATGAAAACAAGTTGGATTTTCATTTTGTTTGAAATTGCCATCTGTTTTGCATCAAGAGGATTATCCTTGTTTATGTTGACTATGTTAGCACAAATTTTTACTGGCAGAAAAAACTTTAAATTAACCTTTTGGGAATTAAATATTGTTTGGTATGCAGGTATCATAAGAGGGTCTGTTGCTTATGCACTAATATAAAAATTGCATTATTCAAATGATGAAGAAAGAGATTAAGTTTAACTCATGTAGACTACTATTTTGATTATTGTTGTTGTTACATCTATAATATTAGGGGCTCTAATGCCTTTGTATATTGTTGGCAATTTATAAATACAAGAACATAGGAATAATAGAAAAAAAGTTTCACATGGTGAAAGTATCAGAGTTACTTTTCTAGGGGTATAATAATTCAACTTACTATTAGGAAATTTATGGGGGTATGGGAGAAAAAGTTGAAAATAACTAAAAAAAAAAATCAAAATTTTATAAATGGTTAATTCATATAGAAGAAAATTATATGAAACCTTGGTTTATATATAATTACAGAGAAAGAAAAGAAGATATAAAAGAGTAAAAGCAACTTTAAAAAAAAGCCAATGATGAAAATATGCCAAGAAGATAAACAGTATAGATCCTTAGATAAGATAGCTAGGGAAACAATCCAGCTACTAGAGTTTCTAGAGTTATTCATAGATCTACTCTGCACACTAAATATATGGGAGTTTAGGAAGTTATTCTTGCTATAGATGTACCTGAAGAAGTACAATATTTTTCTAATGATGAAGAGTTGAAAACTCAATTACAAGAATAAGAAAATATCAGAGAAGTTGATGAGAATTTAGAATCATCGAATATTAAATGAATTTATATTTACATATAATTATTTTTATTATGGATAAGAATAAAAAGTTAAAAAAAACTAAGGATTCTATTTTGATTAGAAAAAATGGTAAATATTCTGAAAATGCTGGTGAAATTGCTCGATAAAGGTATCATATGTAAATTATGAAATTCAGAGCAATTTACATGTTATTTTTTGAATGTGGAATATTAATAACTTATGTGATATTCTTAATCTTATTTATAGTTTAAGATAGATTCAAAATGCTTTATTAAATTCTATAACTTGTCATCGTAACGAATTTTATTGAAATTTAAGATTTTACTTCAAATTGTTTCGAGTTGTTTCTCAATACATTCAATGATATTTTTCAAAGAATATATCATTACCAAAAGTTCTAACTTGTACTTAATATTCGTCAATCTTGTAGAAGCATCCTATTGTATTGTTTAATGATTGTTCCCTTTGTTTTAATGTGTTTGGAAGATGATAAATTTACAATTCAAGTTATTTTGTAGATAATTCTTTTGTCTTGTTGCATAATTCTATGTAGTTTAGATTAATATTTAATCAGAATATTTGTGATAGACTTTTTAAAGGAAAAATAAAGATACAATTTGAAAGCAGGTTAAGTAAATTTATTTAATTTTAGCATTACATAATCGTAAAAGCTTTGAGGATTAATTACAATAAAGTATAATGAATAGGTCAGAAGATTTTACATGAGTATATTTTAATTAAAGAAATATAATGTTTTTTTTATATTTTATTAAAAAACACTCTAGTTAACACAAATATTTATGAATATGACATGACATCAATGTATAAAAATCTTGTTTAAAAGAAAATAATCTAGAAGATTAATATTAGTTAATAAATATTTCCCACATTAAATATTTTTTGAAGTATTACTTTTTTTGAATTCCACAATACATGATAACAACTGGTAAGACGGTAAAAATTATTTGAGATGGAAAATCAAAGAGAAAAGATTTATACATGATAAAAATTTAAATGAAGATTAGAATAAAACTAAAACAGAGGGTATATCAAGTAATTTGATAAATTAAATTATATTGTCGAATTTTGATATAAGAAAGATGATACATAAGTAATAGAAAAAAATAATAATTTAGATTAACCATGCTTTAACATAAGAGGATCAAAAAATTAACAGATTATTAAGAGAAAATAACATCAAAAATACAAATCTAAGCTTATTATACAGGACATAGAGTAAGGAAGAGAAAGATATAGAAAGAAAGTAAGTAAATAGAATTTGTATACTTGAAGTGTGATAAGAGAAGGATAAAAATAAAATAAAAGAGAGAGAAAATAATTTAGAACTTATAGAATTACCTGAAGTAGATATGGTTGATGGAAGCAGGTACAAAGGATAATGGATGAAAGGATAGAGATGGGGATTATGATAGAAATTAATTGGTAGAAGAAGATTCAGTATGAAAATTAATGGAAAAATAATTTTGCTTAGGGAGAAGGTAAATTACTATATGCAGATAGAGATGAATATGAAAGAGAAGAGTAAAGAGGTTAAACAGATGATTTTGGTATTTATTTGTAGATTAATTGGGCATGTTATGAAGATTAATGGAAAAATGACTACCGGATTAGGTATAGAAATATGGAATGATGGCTCTAAATATGAAGGAAAATATAAGTCATCTTTTATTTACTGACGGATCATGATATGTTGGATAAATTTTTGAAAAATAAATATATGGAGATGGGGTATATATTTTGTTTGATGGTAAATCATATAATGGTTAATGGAAAAATAATAAAATGGATGGATATGGAATTATGAGTTGGTTAGATGGCAATAAGTATGAAGGAGAATATTAAAATGATTAAAAACATGGATTTAAAACTTTCTAATGTGGAGTTGGTGGTAAATACTATGAACTATGGCTCAATGAAAAATAAGATGAAGAGGGATAGTAGACAACTATCACAGGTTAATAAAGAAAAGAAATTTTGGAAGAAGGAAATAGAGCAAAATGGCTATGATAAAACACATTAGCCAAAATAATTTTGATTTACTTATTTATTTTAACTAACAGTTTATAAAATTTATATTAATGAAAATAAACTCTGCTAGCCAATAAAAACTAGTTTATGCTAGACCATAAACTTCGCCATTAAAAACAGGCTCATCACCTATTAAGAAAAACAAGTAAGAAATATTTCAAATTATTTTAGATATTTAGTTTCATCAGGAATTTCAACTAATACCAAAATTGATAACAAAGTCTCAAAATCAACTGCTTTATCTCATGACTTAATTTCTTTAATTAAAAATGGAGCAAATTCGCACATCCATAATTAATTTTTTGATAGAAAACTTAATTCTCGTAATTAATTCATTCTTGATATTAATGTTGCAAACTCCAATTAAAACAGGCCAAAATCAAGATAATAAATACAGCAAATTGCTAAAAATAAAAAAACTGATAATAATCTTAAGAATCATGAAAATTTGATTCAAAAGCAATTCTAAAAATTATTTGATCTCCAAAAATAACGTCAAAAAACTCATAGATCTCCTCCTCAAATACATAATAGAGCAATGAGCAATGGAGATCTCAAACCAACAAGTGATATAGCAAATAAATTAATTGAATATATAAAAAAATAATCTGCCAAACAGATTAAAGGTTATAGGTCAATATCTAATCCAGATATAATATTAACAGAAAGAAGACTGATCTCAAAATTTGCAGTTAAGTATTAGATCAATAATATTCAATAGAACTTAAGCTGGCATGTTACATACAAAATAAGAGAAAACAAATTAAGATTCATTTGCAATTCATGAAAAAATAGGAAATGTAGATAATTCTTATTTACTGTAAGTTTCAGATGGACATGGGATCAATGGACATGAAGTTGCCTAATTTGTTTAAGAAAGATTACCAACTATAATTGATTAGTTATTAAAATCTCATAAAATGAACAAAAAAGAATAAGATATGATGATATAAATGATATTAAGATAAGCATTTGAAAAAACAACAAAAGAATTATATAAATCAGGAATAGATATAACTTATAGTGGAGCTACAACAGTATGTTTATTAGTTATAGAACGCACTGGATGGTGTGCAAATATTGGAGATTCAAGAGCAATAATTGCAAAATAGAAAGATGGATTGCATGTTGTTGAATTATCTCATGATTAAAAACCTGATATACCTAGAGAAGAGAAAAGAATAGTATAAAATGGTGGTAGAGTTTAAGCATATTCGGATGAAGAAGGAAATCCTATTGGTCCAGCTAGAGTTTGGTTGAAAAATGAAAATGTTCCTGGGTTGGCCATGTCTCGAAGTTTTGGAGATTACGTCGCTGCTTAAGTAGGTGTAATCTCAATTCCAGAAATAATTAAGCATACATTCTAAAATGATAAATTTCTGATTATGGCATCAGATGGAATTTGGGAGTATTTATTATTGTTATTTAAGATTTCTCGATAATTAATGGGTTATTGATATAGTTTATGCATATTATTTGAAAAATGATGCAGAAGGAGCTGTTGATAGATTGGTAAAAGAAGCTACAGAAGCATGGTAGAAAGAAGATGAAGTTATTGATGATATTACATGCATTGTTGCATTTTTTAATTGAAATGAAAATATAAATCTTTTATAATGTGCATTCTTTAATTTATAAAAAATTTATATAATTAAAATAATATGGATAGCCAATTTTGTGTAATTGCTTTCATTTTTATAAAAGGGTGATAACAAAGTAATATGTTTACTAACCATAACAGAGTCTCTTATTTATATGAGCATCTTCCTTTATTAATATAAAATTATGAGTTCAGCTTGGATGGACATGAAAGTTAAAGAAGCCTATCATAAATCATATACTCTTAGATATAAATTTATATGGATTATACTCTTGATATTAACATTAATTTTAGAAAGTATTTTTAATAACTTTACTCCTTATTCTATAATGGTTCCTTTAGGATGTTAATTTATAGTTTATGTATTTAAAATTCTTATATTAGTGTACTATGATTAAAATTTTGTATGATGATAATAAGTATTTTAATTAGAGTAGAAAATAATTTAGAAGATTTATCCGTTATCCTTTTCTGTTTTAAATTATATAAACCTATAATATGATTCTATTAAAAAACACAGTTTGGGTAAACCTTATTTAAATTTTTATTCTTTTCTCATTTCATGAATATCTAGTAGATAAATCATGCAATTTGCAAGTAAAAGATTTAAAAAAACATGTTGACAATTGTGAAAAATTAAATATTATATGCAATTCAAATATCAATTTAAATTAGCATATGAATAATAAATAATTTTTAGATGATTCACCTAATTTATAACATACTTTATTATAATAATCAAGTTCTATTAGAGACACTCCTTAATTTGACAATTTTGGTACAGACGCAGAAAGCGATTCTGGAAATGAAGAAAATACTGTAAAAGTTTCATTTAGCAGATAATCAGAAATTGGAAATATATCTATTAATAATCTAGATAATGATAGATATGAAATTAATTACTATTATAAAGGAAAATAAAAGCATAAAATTGTAGAGATCTTAGAAATGAATAAATTTATGCAATTACTTAAATTAGATGATTTTACATAAATATGGAGTGATTAAAATAGATTAAATTATTTTATCTAATATTTAGAATCCAAAAATTATTAAATGTAAATCAATATTTAATTATTAGATGGTGTGAAAATTTTTAAAGATAAGAAATTATTGATACATTTATGCCTAAATAATCACAGTGATTCTCTAAATTTATTAATCAAAGTTTTAATTTATTCTATCGATTTATCATTTTATTTTGGGAAAATATCTTTCTTTTCTTTCTTTTCAAATGTTTAAATATTAAAGGTGTTATTTTTTCTTAATTATTCAAATAGACGAGAAAACTCATTAAGTAAAGTTTGTACTTCAGTGTCCTCTTTTATTAAAATATCATCTGCCTATATTTTATTTATAATCCTTATTTAAAATATGTTGTTTATAATTTTATCTATTTTATACGTGACTTATTTAATGGGGTTAGTAATGTCTCTAGTAAAGGAATTCACTCTATTAATGATAATCAAAATATTAATAAATAATATAACAATTATTATTAAATAATAAGGCCATGCTAAATTGAATAAATCTAATGTTTGATCTTGATCATTTATTCTCTATTTATATATAACTAAATAAATTTAGATCTAATTATTAGTAGATATATCTCTAACATATAACGAATTACATGAATTACTAAAGTAGTAGCCATTCCCACCATTTGGTAAATCACAATCAAAACTGATATTCAATATTCTCTTCATCTAACATTCACATTGATCATTCATAATTTAATCATTTGATATATAAAAAGACTTATCACTCTTAAAAATTTAGATAAAAAATGACGACCCTAATTTTGATAATATTTCTCCAACCATTTTTGTGTATCCAACACCTAAAACTATTCCATAATTTGTTGGATAAGAAAATATAACTGTTTCATTGCTATATAATATTTATTGTTTTTATTCCAAATTTAAATAGCTTTCATTCATACTCTAAATAACTGGAAAGTAATGGATAATTTTATTAAGTTAATTTATTAGGTAGAACTGATGAAAAAAGACATACATATCGTCATAATTAAACATCATTTCAAAAATATATTTATCTATTTATGCAAGTTTTAATGTTTAAAGCCATCCTTCTTAATCCATTGAATCTATAGCTTTATATAAAGATCTATATAATGATATATTATTCTAGTTCAGTTTATGTTAAATTATGTATTTCTCTGTAAATGTATCGTTGGAAATAGTAAAATTATTCGATGAGATTGGATTATAAATAAAACTTGTTGTTTATTTCTCAGATAAATAAGCTAGTAATTTTAATTACTTGTAATAACTATCTACTTTTGTTAAAATGGTTTCTGTTAATTTTTAACTATAATCCAAATCTTCATTCATACTGAATTTTACTTTTATTTCAGAACTTCCTATGTAACCAAATAAAATGGCAAGCATCAAGACGACTTTATAGGGTTTTTAAGCTTACAGACAATTGATTTCAGCATAATTAATTTAACCATAAGTCTACCATTAATAGAGTTGAAGAATTTAATCCATAATTCTTATGAAACTAATTCTCTTAATTTATCTACAATTTTTAGCATTATTTAATTAATTTTTATTTAAAATAATAATTAATTGTTAATCAATCTTTAAATTATTTCATATTGAAAGAATTAATAAAGATTTTATAAATTATTAGATTATCTTAATTATTTAAATATAAACAAACGTTGTAAAGAAAAATAATTAATCTAATTCAAAACTTCAGATTATTTTAATTTTTATGTTAAAAGCGAATAATTAATTACTATTTTATCATCTTATATCTAACTTTTGAATTACAAACTGACTTTTTCAAAAGTAAAAGTCTTAGTTCATATTATAATATTGTTATTCTAATAATTTTGGCAGAATTAAATAATTATAATATAAAAATTGGATCTTTATTTGAATAATCTTTTCCTTTGTTTTCTTTCTATTAATTTGATGAATAAAAATTATAGCTCAAAACATAATTTTGATTAAAATATTATCCTGAACATTATCTTTTTTAAATATATTCATGGTTATTTAGTTTTTCTGAAGAATTCACATTTGCTTTTAAAGATTTTAGTTATTTAAATAATGAAAATATCTAACAAATACATACATTCTTCTCTGATATATCTTGATTTTCAAAATTTCTAATTAATAACTTCATCCACTAATTTTCATACAACAAAGATTTATTGTTTATCCTGTTACTATTTTTGCTTTCAGATATTTTGTTGAATTTCTTTGATATTGAATTGACATTTCATTTGGTGAATTAAAAAAATGTAATTATAATAGCAAGCAATGATGATTAATATTGATTATTAATATAATATTATTAAAAAAAGTTCTTTTATATTCAATAGATTTATTAATAAAACTAAATTTCTTAAAAGACATATTTCATTATTATGAATTAAGAATTACTTCTAAATAAAATAAATGTTGAAAAGTATATACATAAAAACTAAAGATTTATCTTTTTAATTCATATATTAAGATTTTCTTTAAAGGTTTTAAGTGTTATAACATTTGATCAAAATTAAATATACAATATATGGACTTATAATATGAGGAAGGAGAAATCTTAACCTAAAAAAACGATAAATTAGAAGGTATAGATAGCGAATCCTCATTACGTTCACTTGTAAGAATTTCTTATCAACTTAGAGCGATACTAATAGAGATGAAAGAGTGCACAAAACTATAAAGGATGAGTTAAGCTCATTTTCTTATGTTTGTCCAATATTTAATTTTATAGGCCATTGTACATAAGATTAATGCAAGTATTATAATATATATATTGTAAAAGAAAGAGACATATCTTAATACAAGATGGATTAGATTAATTAATAAGTGAGAATCTACCATTATTGAATGTTTTAGTAAGTAATGGTGAAAAAGTGAGAGTTCCTTATTAGAAAATTCTAAATAAAGAAATTCAAATCTCTAGACATTAAATTATCAAACCTAAAGTGGTAACTAATTATAGTTTTGGACTATGTGAAAAAAACAAGAGAACTTTAATTCATAAGTTGAGAAAAGACATTGATAAAATGCAAAATAAACTTAAGATTATAAACTATTTGAAGAAATGGGCTATGCATAAGTATGTGGACGAGAGTGATTTTGTAGAATTGTACTATTCACTCAATCCTTCATAACAAATCCATTTTATGAATATTTTTAGAGTTCTTGAGTTATAACCACCCTCATTTCAATGATCATAAAATTTAGAAATATTTTTCTTTATATTTAGGTCTATTTTCCATTGGAAAATTCGGTATTGTTGACAATTAGAACAACATTTCTTTCAGTTCTAATTCACACTCATCTCTAAATTTATTAAGTTCTTCCACAAATATATTTTCAGATCTTAATTTCATTTTAATATCTAATTATTTATCCCAAATAAATGTTAATAATCTAAATTTTATGTTTATATATATACTTTTTCTCCTATTCAATATCTACAAATAAGTCTCTCTCATGTTCTATAACTGTCTTTCTACATTAATTCCATTTGACTACTAATGGAGTTAAATCACTATTATTAAGTATTCCATCAATAATTTTGTATTTTTCTAAAATTGGAAAAGTTATTTTCTTTTATATTTATACAACACTCTATATAAGCATTTAAAAATTCTTACATGTTTTGTTCCACCCAAATATTCTAATATCTCTTCATTACTAAACATTCCCCATTTTTTTAAAGGATCCTTTATGGTTTTAACAGAATTTAAACAAGATTTAAAAAATTCTGGTTCTTGTAATTTCTTTATTAGGAAATTTTCTAATTTTTTTTAAGGATCTTCTTCTCTTTTTTATAAAATTACACATTCTTAACCTGCATAAAAAATTTTTTCAGCTTCATCTTCATTCAAAGTATACCAACATTAAAATGCATTTGTCCAAAATTACTCTAATTATTTTTCCGTTTTCTATATTATAGCTTCTGGCTTTTATTTCTTATTTTTAGTTGATTATTTTGTTTATAATTTATTATTAGCTAATCTTTCTAAATTATTTAATTGATTATTTAATAATTAATCTCTATCCATTTTTTCCTTTATTTATTCTTTCTCATAGTATCGTTTTTATTACCCAAGTTTTTTAATAAAATCACTTTCATGTTTTACTCCAATCTAAAATAAATTATTTTCTTACAAAAACTCCATTATAATCAACCATAAATTCTACTTCATTAAATTTAAGTTATTAAACATCTCCTGTTTCTGTATTATAAATATCTATATCTCTTAATTTAAACTCATAAACTCCCAATTATGGATTATTTTTCCAAGTTAAAATAGAATTTACATAATTATCAAAAGGTTATGTTACTGCTAACTTTTATGTTTTGTATTAATAATTATATTTAAAAGTCACTGAAACCATATATACTTATCCAGAAGCTGGCCAATTAAAAGATCTTTTTATTTTTTATTTTAATTTCCATATTTTTTATTCTGCTACCTTAATTTTCTATTCATCAAGTGCCTATTTTTAAGCTCTGATAATATTTTACACATACATTCAGTATTTGTTTTATTGATTGGAGACAATTCATCACTTTCTAATTATTTTTCTAATTCTTTAATATCATTCTAATTTAGTCCATTTAAAAATTAATCATACGATAAATCCAAACTATTATTATTTTACTATGTTGAATTAATAACAAATTTCTGTGATTATTTTTTTGGTTATTCTATTTTTTTTTATGGAAGTTATATTTTCTATTATCCTTCCATCTTAGAATTTCTTTGCCTTTCTGCTTATCTCTTATTTGCTGCCTCCCTTTATATTATTTGATAAATATACTATACCTATCAATATTATCATCAGGTTTAATCCCAACTGCTTATATCTTAGCCTATTCTCCAATATCTGGAGATTTAGGTCTATTATATACAGGAATTTAATCTTCGAATTAGGCTACATCGGATTTTGGAGGATCTGGTTATTTTTAAGGTTTAGAACCCATTTTATTTTATTAATAAATAGTAATTTTATTATTTAAGAAAATTATTATCAAAAAGTTCAAAAAAGAATAACTTCTAACTCTCTTTCTTAAATAAAAGACTTAAGGTATTCATTAAGTTATGATTTTATCTAATTAATAATTATTATTTCAGAAATTATTCAAATAATATTTTATATCTCCCTTTCTATTTTCAATATTTTTAATATTTTTGGAAAAAAAAAATTACTTTTAAATAACAAATTTAGAGTCTAAAATATTACATCTATTGTAATTATTCATTCTCATAATTCTAATTAAATACCATAAAAATTTAATTGGATCAAAATGGAACAGAAAAAAATGAAAAAAAAAAATTGTAAATATAATTTTTTTTTTTTGGATAATTCAAGAAATCCAATCGTGATAACTTTGAACAACTTCACTTACTTCAAAATTACTTAATAAATCATCATCAAATAAGTCATGATTGAGTAATTAACAAAAAGTTAATCTTTATTATATAACTCCTTCTATAATAATTAGATAATATAATTAATTACTTTTATATAGTTAATGATCTTCTTCAGCATTAAACAGTCCTTATAGTAGATTTTTCCAATCCAAATATTTTCCTAACTTACCAACATCTGCCCTTTTCACTATATATTATAAATGAATAAATTTACTTCCTAAAGTAGACATAATAATTTAGGCAAAGTTCTCTAATAATGTTGCTTCTAAATTTTAATCATCTTCTCTTAATTCTGAAAATCTAACATTCCTTAAATAAATTTAAACTCCATCATTTCCAACTTAGATATTAGATAAAGTAATAGGTAAAACAGGATAAAATCTTGTCATTCTTAAAATATCATAAAGACCTCCAAAAACTTATCTCATAGTAGTTCTAAAAAACAAGAAATCAGGAGTTAGTTGTTTTTTAGATTATTTTAATAAGTATTTTAAAGTATGCCCCCTTTTTAATTCCATAAAATGCTAAAAGTTATGATCATCTGATAATAAATCTTATCCTAAATATTTAGGAAAGAATTAAGATAAAATCAATTCATGATGGGCTTCAAATGTATTCAATAATTCACATTATTCTTATTATCTCCACATACATCTAGATTAAAATAAAAAATACTTTGGAATAAGCCAAACTTCAACAGGAGAATCATTCATATGATCATAACCAACCTATACTTTTATTTATCCTTATTTCAATATTTTAATTGCCTAATTACGGTATTAAACAGATTTAACTCTTATTTTAGCATATTCTCTGTCTATCTTATCTCGATTAACACTTAAGTACTCTAAAGGATTCTTAGATAACAGTCATACAATACAGATTCAATTATTGGAAAGGATTTCACAACACTTTTCAAAGATTGTATTGGCTAATTTACAATAATAACATCTGCTGCAAAATCATCGAATTCATTTTTAAAATCTTAAAATTCTCTCTCAATTTCTTCATAAGTTTTAGTTGTATATTTCATATCTTCAACTGAAAATGTTTAATAATTCCAGTTTTTTAAAGTTGTTCTACAATCATTCACTTAATTATATAATTTATCCAATTCTCTAGACATTTCTTAAAGTGCAGGTAAGATATTTGCATTAGCTAATATTTTCTTAAGATTTTCAAACACTAATGGAAAATAAATCACACTATCTTTAATCTTAAGCATATCGTTAGGATCGAACAATTAGTTTACATATAAAAATTCTAAAAATCCATGCCATTAATTAAGATCATCTATGCAACCATTTTTTGTGTATTTGTAAAAAAGTTTCTCTAAAAGTACTAAATTAAAACAATCCATAAAAAATATTAACTATAATTATTTGTTTATAATTTGAAGTAAAATAAAAAAATTTCAAAATTTTTTTTCATTTTTTACTCTATCATTATTAAAGATAGAGTAAATATTAGCAGAATTACTTCGAAGAGGATGAAAATTTGCAGTACTTTTTGATATTTAAGATTATTTCTCACCAAGTCTAAAATTATAATTTGTTGTTTATTATTAAAACATTCTAATTGAAGGTTTACGTTCAATTACATTATTATAATTTGTTACATTCTTTTTTTCAGGGAACATCATTACTGTCTTATAATCAAAAATAATCTTACTTTTTTTAGTTTAAAATTATGTTCTGTTTATTTTATAGTTGAATTATTTTAATCTTCATTAAAATGTTTTCTACCTGTTTTTGCAGGTTATGGTATGTTTTCTTTGTTAAACATTTTTTTCTTATGTAACTTTAAATCAGATTAAAGTGTTGTTTTTCTCATTCGTTAAGAATTAATAATTATTAAATAAATATATATAATGAACAAAGATTATAAATAGCTGGCAATTTAATATCATTTAGCTTATATGAATCTTAAATAAAGAATTGATTTATCTTAGAAATCATTTAGTGTAACAATTCTTAGATTATTAGACTATTGATTTTAAAGTGCAATTGGAATAATATTATTAATAAAAACTTAAATCAGTTATAGATAAATATGAAGATCACAAATATGATGAAATATTTTAATATATTATCACAAACTGTTCAAATAAGTATTAGGTATAAGAATAGTTGATTACTGATTTTAAAAATGCAAGAGAAGAATTTTCAAACAATATCAATAAATACTCATAATAATTAATTATTCTACATGAAAAAAAAGAAAAGTAAAATTACAATATATAAGGTCTATCAATAAATTAAAAGTAGCATCATAAAAGTTGACTTAAAGTTAATAATTTTATATTTCTATATCCAAAGTATTAGAAAGAAATGTTTTGACTATAGATTTAATGAATGATAATGTTGATTAAAAATTGGGATAAATGAAAACAATCTAAGATCTAATGAAAAATAAGGAAAATACTTATGGAAATTACAAAATAGCAGTAGACAAATATAATTAATGTTATAATGAAGTATTACCTGAGATAGAATTATATGTCACTTAAATTAAAGAGCTCGAATTTAATGTGGCTGAATGTGTAAGATAATTGTTTCAAAAGATTGCTTTGGCTGAAGTATCAGCTTTAAGAAACAGGTATTATTAAGAATATATAAAGACAATATGATTTAGATTAAGTGATTAAATATTTGGATAAAGTAGACTTCACAAAAATTAATACTATTTTTAAATTTTCAGAGGAAGCTTTTATGCCAGCAAAAGTTGAATTATTTTAAACTTACTCTTCAAAAATTGTTAGTAATTATCTCCATAGAATTAACAGTATTAATTCAGACGAAAAACCTTAAGAAGATTAAGAATAACAAAAATAGCTAGATCAAGAAACTCTCTTACAAGAATAAAAACAATAATTAGAAGAATTTTTAGCTTCTTTATTAAATAAAGCAGATTTATCAGAAAAATTGATAAATTAGATCGAATCTAATATTAACCATAATAGTGCTGCATCAATGCTAGAATTTTTATACCAATTTATTAAGTAAATTATTTTTTTGACTTAGAGCTCCAATAATGATTGGAAAACGAAATTAGTCTATGATTCATTCAATTTTTAATAAATTATTAGAATATATTCCAAAAGAGGGAATAAATCTATTTAAGATTCAAAAATTATCAACATTTATTTATTACTAATAAGAAGAAGTAATTTCATTATTTTAATTTCTTTCCTAAAATGCAATCTTTTCTAAAAAAAATGATTATTGGGAATGGCTAATATTTTGGTTAGTAAATCAAACATGTGAAGGAGTTTCAGACTCGAATAAATAATTAATCATATTCTAACAATTTTAAAATACTGTTTAATAAATGGTTTAAGCTAAAATACCTATTGCAATAATAAACACATTTATCTCAGATTTAGCACCTTTTTACGGATTAAAAACTTTATAAATTGAAGAAATTAAGAAATCATTATCAAGATTTATTTTCGCATCACAATAAAATCCGAATTCTAAAATTTAAATTTAATCTTTTAATTCAGTAGAATGAAATTCTATAATAATATTTTGAGATTACATTATAAATTAAATTTAACTATTCCTATAAATATTTTGTGAATAAGAACTTAACCTTAAAAAAATTTATATATTTTGTAAATTAAAAATATAAATATTTCACAAATTTATATGTATTTAATTTTTATATAATATAAAAAATGCAAACAAGAGAAAAATTAGGAGCCTAAGCAAAAAAAATGCTTAAAATACTTTCAGACTTCAAAGGTTAAATTATTGATGGTTATAAGGTATTTTTATGTAATAATCAGGTAATTCTTACCTGCAGAGATTTAGTGCTGCCTGATATTAAAAAACTAATTGAGCTTTTATTTATTTTTGAAGGCTTAGGATTTATTACAAGGATATCTAAAAAGCGATTTATATATTCAGGTTTGAAAGGGATGACTGCTCGAATTTTAGAAGGGGTAGAATTTGGATTAACAAGAACTTAATATGATAGAGAACATTGGCTTTTCTCAGAAGATTACATTATTGAAAATAAAAAATATTCAATTAGATAAAGTGTCTACTTTGGATTATTTTATTAAGAAATAATTACTTAAATTTTTAGCAATCAAGGTTTAATATTATTTGTAAATTAGGCCGAATGATTGCTAGAGATACAATCGAAAAATTAGTAGAGTAATTACAGTTGACTGCTAAAGAATAAAGCAGTGCTCTAATTATTAATGAAATGGCTAGCATAATGACAAGCTTGAATCTTTTAGATAAGTATGAGTGAATTCAAAAATAATATAGGAGAAGTCCTGCTGATGCATATGAAACATATCTATGGATTGGACCAGATATTCTACATTAATTTACGATTGAACAATTAAATCCATATTCACTTCAAGTATGAAATAACAATTAATAAGTTGAAAGAATAATTATAAAGTAAAGTGAAGTTGAATTTCGAGTAGGAATCTACTTATATTTCTAATTTATTTAGAGATTTAATAGAATTTCAAGTCTAGGATAATGAAGTGAAAATGCCCTTAGTAAACTTTCCAACAGCAGCTTATGCATTATTAAAAGGAAAACATATAACTTACTATATAAAAAAACTAGCAATAATAATAGGCAGAGCCAATCAAACTAAAAATAGCAAATATATCTGGGATGTAGACTTAGCTTTAGATTTAGGATAAAAGATTTCTAAATAGCATGCTGTTATCTCATATAATATAGAAAAAGAATAGTAATATATGATACATTATTTTTAGTTTTGAAATAAGATGTTTAAGCAATAAAAAACCAATATATGTTGATTCTGTAACTATAACTTCAAAGGATAATCCTGTTATTTTGAAGCATCGATCTTCTATATAAATTGGAAAGTTTATACTCATGTTCTATCTACCGAAATTATCAAATGAAATTCAGAATTAAGAAATCACAGAATCAAATATGGTTGTAGAATGAGAATTAATATGTTTTTAGTAAAAATTTCGATTAATTATTTAATACTGGAAGAAACTTAATTTGTTAAATAAATAAATCTTTAAACTAATGCACTCTTATAGATCAATTTTAAGAAGAAAACCATTTTTAAATTAGAGTATCCTTATTGTTGTCTATGAATATTTATTAATTTTTTCTATTGAGTTTTTAATTATAAATAATCAGAAGCTAAAATAATTTTTTTTTTTTAGTAAAAAATAGGTAATCTGTAATCGATAAGAGAGTTATTCATATTTAAAAAGACCCTTTATTTGAAATATCTTAATTTCAAAATACCTAATTATTGTAGATAATTTTTGTATGTTCTATGTTATTTTAGTTTCGTAATATTTGGATAAACTTTTGATTCTTGACAACTGCACAAAGCTAATTATTATTTATTTTAAAGAAGTTTTTGGCGCTTTCTAAGAGGTATAATAAATGGCTCATAAGTTTGTTAGGAAAATGTACAACATCGATCCTGGTATGAAAAGAAGAAAATAAACAAGAGTTCGCAAACAATTAGTTAAAGCAAATTTACAGGATGAAAGTGAAGAAAATTCCTTAATCGAGGTTTAATAGAAAGTAACAAAAAAATATCAAAATTATTTGCATACTCTAAGAAAAATGGGAGATTTTGATTGGACTGATATAGAAAATACAAATAATACAAAAGTAATTTATCCAAGTATGCATTTACTTATATCAAGTCTAATTTTTACAAGCATCCACACTCTAATTTATGATTGCAGCACTCTATTTTAACTGTGATCAAGAGTATCTCTAATAATGTCTGCATGAAATTGACAAAATTTTAAAGAAAAATGAATCAATAATTGGGACTTAAATATAAGAGTACATATCTTGATTTAATTAGTGATTGTAAAAAATAGAAAAATAAAAAAGGGTATGATGTGAATGATGATATGTTCATTTTAGAAATGAGAAACATAGGTTCTAAAGGATTAGATGAGTTAATCTCAAACTAAGAGTACAATGAATAAATATATAATTAGAATTGAATTAGAAGAGTTAACAAAAATAAATGAAGAAACTATATAATAATTTTGTAATTTAGTGCCAACAATAAAATAGCATTTAAAAACAGATTAGTAAAACAATCTATTGAGAGATATTGCTGGATTGACAGAAGCAGAAAAACATTATATAGAAAAAACAGAAATGAAAATTTAAGCAGATGAATAGAATGTGATAGTATAAGAGACTGGTAAAAAAACATAAGGAGGTGGAATTCATTTATAACCAAATTTAGATGATGCATTATGTTAAGTTTGTAATGATGGTGATTACACTGATGATAATTTAATTGTATTTTGTTCTAAATGCAATATATCAGTGCACTAAAAATGTTATTTAATTGATATAATACCAAATGAAGATTGGATATGTGATGTATGTTAGACTTTTGGATCAAATGGACAATATTTACGTTGTGCATTATGTCCTAAATTAGGAGGAGCAATGAAAGCTACTGAAATAGATGCATAATGTTTTCAAAATTTAAATTAAACTTATTTTGAATCTTAAGGAGAAACTATGATGAAGAATGATATTGTCTCTAAATTATGTAATAATTTAAATAAATAAAGTTTAATAAATTGATGATGATTCAGAACTTTATTATGATTTTGGTAAACTACCAAACAGAGATATTCGTGATTTAGAAAATAATAAAGAAATCAAAGAACCTTAGCCATAAAAAGTTTGGATTCATTTATCTTGTTTTTATTGGTCTCCAGAATGTTTTTTAGATGAAAAATAAGATATTCTTAGAGGTGTGGATAATATTAATGCAAAAAGATTTGCTCTAAATTGCACCATTTGTAATATTAAGAAAGCTGGAATGTGTATATAATGCGCAAGAGGTAGTTGTTCTACTTCCTTTCATGTAGAATGTGCCAGAAGATCTGGAATATTCTTAACTCAAACTGTTATCAATAATAAACCTGATTATTAGATCTTCTGTTAAAAACATGTTCCTCTTAAAGTTAAAAGAATTTTAGAATCTAAATAGAGATTATATGAAAGAGAAATAATAGATTTTTTTAGAGCTTATGAAAAATGTCGATAAGTGCATAAGAAGTCTGTTTAAAAGCCAAAAAAAATAAAAAATTTGAAGGATTAAAAGTAAAAATAAGAAAATCAGGAATAATCAGAAAATGAATTCGATTTAATAGATTTTGCAAATAAATTAAAAGAATTCATAAATTAGATTACTGACTAATAACTAATTGTTAATTTAAAGTTAGAATAAGGATAATATATCCTTGATTCAATCTCAGGACCTGTTCTTAAACCATAAAAATAATATAAGCTTACAAGTTTGCCAGAAGTTTATTAAAATAAAGTAGATGCAAATGGTTTATTAGTTACACAATTTTACAAAAGTACAATTACTGCAACTGATGAATTATGGAAACATTTTAAATATCGAGATTATGAAAAAGATATCACATATAAGATGTATGAGAAATTAAGAAGAAGAGCAAGTAAATATATGTAAGAATTAAACCCTTAAAAAAAATAAGCCAAACTTATCGATATATTAATGCTAAAAAAATATAAAAAAACAAATAAAGCTGAATAAAAGAAGGAAATCTTCATAGAATAAGTAGGGGATGAATATTTTTAAAGAGATGATAACTTATATTGTGTATGTAGAGGGAAATTTAAAGATGGTGATCCTATGATATGTTGTGAAGTATGTGATGAATGGTTTCATTTCGATTGTTTAGAAATTATAATTCCTTTTGAAGAAGCTTCTTAAATAGAGTTCAAATGTTTCTTATGTGTTGATGGCCTACCTAAAGATGAAAAAGTAGCTATCAATAATATTTAATCGAGAATGTTTAAAGATCCTTCTTTTAAATTGCAAAGAGAATTAGCAGAAAAGTGCAAATTAGATGAATTAAGAAAACTAAGAATCAAAGAAATGTAAGAAAATAAATTAAAAGAAGAACAAAATATAGATATTAATATTCCTTAAATTCAAACAGAAGACAAAATTTTGATAGAAGAATAAAATATTGAAGAAAAATAATGCTTCTAGGAAGAATTAAATATCCTTGGAGATAATTAATTTTAAGCTAATAATTAGACCTTTGATTAAGATCAAATACAAATTGAAATTCAGTTAGATGGCAACGAAAAAAACAAAAAGACTGAAGATCATGTAAAAACACCTAGCAAAACAGAATCAGTGGAAGATTAAGATAATCATAAATTAGAAGTTCCAGAAACTTAAGAAAAAGTTATTAATAATAAATTTAAACAAAAATCAATTAGAGACTATTTCTAAAAGTTAAAGTGATTATATTTTAATTCACATTATGGCACAGCACGTATCTCCTCTTCTCCATTCAACATAAGGGTGCGTAACAAAGTTTGGTTAGCCTTTTAATCTCCAGACATCGTTTCTTGATTTTTACAAGATGTGATTTTTTATTTCTTCTAAAAATTAATCTTTCTTGCTTATTTATAAATGTGGACTGCTAAAATCATTCATATTCATATCCTTTCCTGTATTTGACATTATCTTATTTTTGTTATAATAATATTAATAAATTATTATTAAATAATATTTTTTTTTAGTTGATATAATTATAATTAAAATGAGGAAAGGAATTTCGAATATAAAACCTTTTAAAATGTTCTATTGATAAAAAGTAAAAAAAAAACTATTTTTTTATTGATGTCAAATCATACAAGAATAGTATTGTTTATATTAAATATATCAAAATTTATTATCCTTTTCAGAATTAATAAAGTCATTTTAGTATAAAGATAAAATTGCTCCATTTCCAAGTTTAAATCGAAAAGAGTATCTTTTAACTTGGAAAGTCTTAAATAATCTTAGGATATTTTATATATAATGATCAATTTATATGTTGAGTCTTTTTTTTAATATATCTGTGTAAAAAAATCCCTTGAAAATGAAAATTAAACAAATAGTTATTTATGAGGATTCTTATCACAGATAGAGTGAATAATTTTTTAATCTTATTTGAATAACTAAGAAGTTCTTATAATCAGAGTTTTTTTTACACACTTAAGTCAAAATGGAATAATTAAATCTTATTTATAATTAAACTAGTATATGAGCATACTATATAACAATCTAAACATAAATGACTAGCATTATTGAAAAATTATTTTAAATGTATGGTATTCGTTTTTTAAATTAAAATTTAATTCGTTTTTACCAAACAAATCTCACTACAAAAGTTGCTAACCCATTTTTAGAAGGTACTTATTAATTAAAATGAAAGTCACTATTATATTATTAGTTGTCTTAGCTCTTGCTAATGCTGGTATGGTATAAAAGTTTCCAATCGCATATGGAGGAAAAAGAAGCATAATGAATGTCATGGTTGAAGTTGAAAATAAGATTAAAGCCCATTCCCCACTTGATACAATCAAGGGAGTTCTTGATAACTTTAAATCAGCTGTTGCCTCAGAATAAGGAACACATGATGAAGTCTATGGAGCTTAAAAAGCTGAATGTGAAAGCGAATTAGCTTATAGAAGAGCTGAAGTTGATGATGCTACAGGAACACTCAAAATTGCAAATGGAATTCTTAAGAGTTCTAATATCTTATTAAAGAAAACTTAAGCTACACAAGGAGAGACCGAAAATATTCTAAATTCTGTTTCCCTACATATTGAACTAATTAGTGATGTTAGAAAAGAGGATACATAATCATACAACAGAGGAGCAGTTACTTTTAATGATGCTATAAATGCTATTGATGATGCAATTGACCTTGGTGTTGCTTTAGTCAAAGGTGAAGCTAGCTTAATCTAAGTTGCCGATATGACAACAAAGTTAATGTTAGCATCAGTTGCCACAAAGATGAATAAAGCTTTTATGGCTCCATTAGCTGCTTTGGCTCAAATTACATAAGAAGATGATGCTGCAGGTGCTGCTGAAAGACTTGTTTAATTATTATAAACATTAAGAAGCAATGTAGAAGAAGCATGGGCATCATACACAGCTGAAAATACCAATGCTTTGGCTCTTTTCACTTAACAAAAAGATTTATATCTTGCTACATAAGGAAGACTTGAATCCTCAAAATAATAGTTGGCTAGCAAAGCTGAAAACTTACAAGGAGTTATCTCAGTCTAATCAGCAGTTGCCTAAGCTGCCACAAACAAGAAGCAAAGAAACCAAACCTTATGGGACGATGTTGCTGATTTGTGTCATAGCTTTGATGTTGAATATGAAGCTGTTACAGCAGGAAGAAGATAAGAATTAATTTTGGTTCAAGAATTAGAAAGAGCTGTCTAGAGAAGAGCTGATGAATAATAATGAGATATTAAATAAATTTAAATAAGACCTAATACATCTTTTTAATATATGACCAATTTCAATATATTAATAAAGAAAATTCTTAATCTAGAAAAATTATTAATTTTTATTCAACTTTTTATTGATATCATACTCAACTACCTGATATTCAATTGAGTATAATTTTCAGTAATTTTTAAATAATAAAAATAAAAAAAATAAACAATCTATAAAAAAAGTATTGATAAGATTTTTTATCTAATTTAGAGATAGAATAGATTTAAATCTTCTTTACTTTACTACTTTATTATAACTTAATTCTTACAATTATATGAAATTAAGTTTATTATTGTTTATTTTAATTTCAATAAAATTATATTGAATTGTTTGTTGTTTTTTCTCGATAGATGATATTTATATCTGGAAATGAAAAAAGCCAAAAAAGGTCAAACTTGAAAAAAATCCAAGTAAATCAAATATTTCAAAATTTATAATTTAAAACAAGAAAAAACTTGTCAATTGATAATTTTTTTAGAACTCAAAAACTTTGACAGTTAAGGTTTTTTGAAACTTAATAATTTTAAATCTTTAATAATTTTTTTTGATTAAACAGGATAAGTATCTTAAGGTAATTATATTTCGAGACTCATGATAGAAAATCGATAGTGCTGATTTCTCAAATTTTCTTGGTAGATTATATTTTCTTCTAATTAATAATATCATTATTGATTTACTTCAAAGTATAGAACTTACATAAAGGAAAAGTTTGAAATACACATAAATTTGAAGAAATAAATTATTTACTCAAAAAAATCATAAAACAAATAGATAATATAAACACGTATTATAATAAATTAAAACCCGTTTTTCATTAGATACACTAATTGGGGTTATAAATGGCAGATTAGAGTTTATGAATAATAAATATTTTTAATGAAAGCCACAATTTCATTATTAGTTGTCTTAGCTCTTGCTAATGCTAGTATGGTATAAAAGTTCCCAATTACATATGGAGGTAAAAGAAGCATAATGAATGTCATGGTTGAAGTTGAAAACAAGATTAAAGCACACTCCCCACTTGATACAATCAAGGGAGTTCTTGATAACTTTAAATCAGCTGTTGCCTCAGAATAAGGAACACATGATGAAGTCTATGGAGCTCAAAAAGCTGAATGTGAAAGTGAAATAGCTTATAGAAGAGCTGAAGTTGAAGATGCCACTGGCACACTTAAAATTGCAAATGGAATTCTCAAGACTTCTAACATTTTATTGAAGAAAACTTAAGCCACCATCGGAGAAACTGAAAACATTTTGAACACTGTTTCATTACATATTGGACTCATTAATGATGCTAGAAAAGAAGACACATAATCATACAACAGAGGTGCCGTTACTTTCAATGATGCCATTAACGCCATTGATGATTCCCTTGATTTGGCTGCTGCTTTAGCTAAAGGAAAAGCCAGTTTGATCTAAGTTGCTGAAATGACAACCAAATTGATGAAGGCTTCTGTTGCCACAAAAATGAACAAAGCTTTCATGACCCCATTGGCTGCTTTGGCTTAAATTACATAAGAAGATGATGCTACAAGTGCTGCTGAAAGACTTGCTCAATTATTATAAACCTTGAGAACCACCGTTGAAGAAGCATGGACATCCTACACAGCTGAAAATACCAATGCTTTGGCTCTTTTCACTTAACAAAAAGATTTATATCTTGCTTCATAAACCAGACTTGATGCTTCAAAGGGAAGATTAACCACCAAGGCTGAAAACTTATAAGGAGTTATCTCTGTCTAAACAGCTGTTGCCTAAGCTGCCACAAACAAAAAGCAAAGAAACCAAACCTTATGGGACGATGCTGCTGATTTGTGCCATAGTTTTGATGTTGAATACAATGCAGTCACTGCAGGAAGAACATAAGAGTTAGTTTTGGTCTAAGAATTGGAAAGATTAGCTGAAAGAAGAGCTGCTGAATAATAATGAAATATTAATAAAATATTTCAAAATTCATGAAAAACAACTTTTTAATTCATTAAGGTTTTTTTCTAAGTTTCTATAAAATCTTAAGGTACTCACTCTTCATAACTTTATTTCTTCTCCATTTGAAAAAAATCAATATTATTCTAGATGATTAAATTTATCAATCAAATCGTTTTGATCACAAACTAAGAAGTAAAATTATTTATAAGTAATTTCTCATTATTAAATTTTTATTAAGATTCTTTATATAAAAATAGAAAGATTCTTTCGCCTTTCAATAAAGTTAAAGATTCATTATTTCATAGTTTACCATAAATATATTTTTATTTAACCAAAACTGGTTTACTTCGATTAAAATTAACCTTTATTTTCTTTGTGTATAATAAAATGAAGATTACTTAAAAGTTTACAAAAAATCATCAATTTATAGAAGATTTTTGATACTTATTTTTCCTATAAATAATTTAGTTAAATCATTGAACAATTTGAAGAGAAAAACTAATTTAAAAGGTCATGAAATTTGATAATTTTCTAAGTTTATAATATTTTAATAAATAATCTAATCTGTTAAATAAAGTGACATTTAATGAACTGATTATGTAATAAAATAGTAAATCAAAAGTAGAAATAATTGCTTTTTAATATGATAAAAATGATTGTTGTAAATAATAAGTATATTTCAGGAAAATTCTAGACTATCGTTTGTGGTGGATGAAAATTTTTAGTCATCTCTAAGCATTTTTTCTAATTTCTTTATTCTTTAAAGTATGACTTCGTTTTTCTAGGATATTGATTATTTAATACTTATTAAGAAATCTGTAGCTCTTATCGGGATTTATGAATTTCAATGATCAACATCATGTTAACATTTTAAATCTCTGCCTGTTATACTTTCATTTATTCTAATTCTTTCTCAAGTCTCTAAATTTACAGGCTCTGACTATGTGTATGCCTAATAGGTTGTTTATTTGCTTATTGTTGTTGACTACCACATTTTCTGTGTTTAGGTTTAGCATCTTTAGTGGAAGGCGTAGCTAACAGCATAAATTCAATTGATACAGCTGCACTCTGTAATTGTACTAAGATCTAATGATTATTTTGGTTTAAATTTCATCTAACCAAAATTGAACATAGCATTGAATAACCCATAATTTTGATCATCTAGTTTTTCGACTATCTAATGATGTAAAATTGGTTCTTGCTATATCTTTTTAATGATTTCTTTTGTTTCATTTGTATCATTATCATCATCTTAAACTAGAAATTCAGTTTATATGGGAAAGTAATTGCCACTAGATTTTGTTCTTCGATGATGGTTGCTTTTCATATTATTTAGTAAAAATAATTTAAAATTAAATCTGTCAATTTATAAATGCAAATACTTTAGTTGAATCCTGGTTTATATGGACCCTTTTCTGGTTTAGTTCTAACTATAATTACTGAAAAATATTATTATATAATTAATATTTAGATAAGGAATCTGATTAATTAAATATTATATGATTGATTTCGATCCATCTACATTTGGTTTAGCTCATACTTACTAGAAAGAAGATAAAGATGAAATAAACACTTTAGCTTTGCCTTCTGCTCCTTAAGTGATATATAGAACTTTGAATGGTCCAACTTAAATCAATGGAGGAAATAAATTAAATAATTTCAAACATGGAACCACTACTTTAGGATTTGTATTTAAAGAGGGTATTCTGTTGGCTGTAGATTCAAGAGCCAGCATGGGAAGTTTTTTGAGCAGCGAATAAGTTAGAAAGGTCATTGAAATTAATGAATATCTATTGGGTATTTTAATTTGAGATTCTTTAAGGTACTATGGCTGGTGGTGCAGCAGATTGTTAATATTGGCTGGCATATTTAGCTAATCATTGTAGAACCTATGAATTAAAAAATGGAAGTAAACTAAGTGTTGCTGCAGCATCTAAATTCTTATAAGGAATTTTGATTGGTTACAGAAATTCAGGACTTTCTATGGGATGTATGATTGCTGGAACTGATTTAAGCGGGTAACATTTATATTACATTGATAATGATGGAATGAGATTAAAAGGAGATATCTTTTCTGTAGGAAGTGGTAGTACTTATGCCTATGGAGTTTTGGATAATCATTATAGATATGATTTATCATTAAATGAAGCTGTAGAATTAGGAATTAAAGCCATCTATCATGCTACTCATAGAGATACAGCATCTGGAGGAGTAGTTAGAGGTAAATATTCTTGGTTTCACTAGTTTATCATATTCATTAGAATGGATGGACTAAAGTTCATGATGGAATAGATGTTGTAGATTTGCATTATAAATTTGCTCAAGAAAAAGGACTTGTTGGAGATGGAGATGAAGCAAAATAGAGATTGTTTTGATATTAAATGCAGAATATTCATATATTTTTTTATGTGTGAAAATATTATTTCCTTTTACTTTTTCTAATTGGACTAACATTTAAGTAGGATAAATTGTCTTTTTATCATTATATTTTGGAATTGAAATTACAATTTCCCCAATATATTTAATGAATTAACAAATACTAAAAAAAATGGGAATCACAGAATTTGATTTGCAACCCCTGAATAAAATCAATGTCCCATTTGAATATGAAAATGATGTATAATTTTACAAAGAGTCGATAATGAAGTAGCATGAAAAAAGGAGACAAAGATTATTAATCGAATACAATGAATTAATAAATTTCAAATAAAATCAAAGCCTTCAAACTCCTAAGATTTTAGTTTAAGGCGAAAAAATTGATGATTCATAGAGCATAGAAAGGCATGAGAAATTGATTAAGGTGAAGAAGATACAATAAGAACAGATGGATAAATAATTGTTAAAATATTCATAGAAAGAATAATTAATTGAGTCTCGGAGAAAACAAATAAATAGTGAAAGAGAATTTAGAGCATATCAAAAAGAGGTATTAGACACATCACGAATAGAATTAATTTAAAGAAATAAAGCATAATTATCTAAAATGATGCATGATAAATATGAGAAACGCAAAATGAGTTACGATGCCAAATTATAAAGATTTGAACTGTCTAAATAAGCTCAATAAGTTGTTCCAAGAAAAACAAGATTTGATGAAACAGTGGCTAGATATTAAAAAAGCGTTGAGGAGAGAAAATTAAAAGATTAGGAGAAGTTAAGAAAATTAGAAGAAAGTATAGAAAAAGCTAATACTAAGAAATAATCAAATATAACAGAAGTTAAGAGAAAAGGTTTGCTTGAATAACTAAAAATTGAGGATGCATTTTTCAATAGAGAAAGATCATAGCTTGCGAAATAGAGAAGATTGTTAGAAAAATTGTAAATAAGAACAGAGGTTGTTAGATAAAATTAGAAAGAACCTAAATAAAAGCCATATCCATTTCCAAAATTTCTTTGTAATAAAGATTAAAGAAAAGCGAGTTCTTTAACATTATAGCGATTTGCTTCAGAAATCATAGATCCACTTGAATAAGTAAACATCCATGATTTAGAAGAGAAACTACTAGGGATATGTTCATCTTAAGACAAAATACAAAGAGATTAATTTGTTAAAACTAATTATTTGTTTTTATATAACTGATATGGATTATCTCACATAAGATGAAGTAGGCGGTATTGTTGCCAAAGGCCTAGCAGCTCTTTATTTAGAAAAGCCATAATTTCCTATTGATTATCTTGCAAAATGGCTTCTAACTTACTCATAATTGCTTTAAAAATAAAAGGCAAGAGAAGAAAAAGTATTGAATAAAATTCGATATTTATTAGTAACAAGTTAAAGAAACAAAGGTAAAGGAATTCAAAGTTTTAACTGAATAATTAGCATTTCTAAAAGAAGAGAGCGATAGACTCGAGAATTTGTAAAAAGAGAAACATGAATAATTTTTAGAATCAATTAAATAGGCAAAATATCATGATGAATTCTTAGGGGATGTATTTTGTGATTATGTTGCAAATCGATTTGTAATTATGATATGTAATGACAGAGAGTTAACACTTATGTTTGTGAACTTGATTTTCCAAGAAAGGAGATTGATCAAAATTTGGAAGACGATGAAAACGCTCATATTAATTTAGAGGGAGCAAAGCTTTTGACCTATGTATATGCTGATTAGAATTCAAAATTCTTGATTGGCTAAAATTTACTTCCAGAAACAGGAGTTACATATGATGCATTAAAAGAACCATAACCAGATGAAAATGGAGAAGTAATTTAAACAAATGGCATTTATATATCAAATGTTGTTAAAGAGCCTAGAATAGTATATCATAAGTGGCCGAAATTAGGAGCATATTATGCTATACCTTTAATTTATTAAAGCTGTTTATATGAATAATCATTTGATCAAGGAATTGAATAGAGATCTCAATATTTAATTTTAAAAGAAAATTAAGATAAGGAAAGATCAGCGAAAGAAGCAGAATTCGAAGAGAGACTTGAATCTGAGGATCCAGCTGTAATAGAATAGGAAAAATAAGCATATTTAGCTGGTTTAGAACCTCTTTTGGAACCATCTTTTGCTTAACAAAAAAAAGAGTATGTTTTTTGTATCGACTCTTTGGGATAGGATAGGGAAATTCCAGAAAATCATAGATAGGAGATTTTTGATTTGGTTAATCTGCTAATTAAATAATGGGAATTACAAGAAATATAATCAATGAAGGCAGACGTAGAATTACAATTACAATATTAAGCCTCACTTGGTGCTCCATACAAAGAGATACTTGAAACTTGGGCATTGGAGGAAGAATAATATGTTGAAACTCATTAAGAAAAGTTAGCAGAATTTAAAGAAAATGAAAAATTATTTTAATATGAGGTTGATTGTTTAAGATTAGAAAGATTAAGAGAGAAATTAAGTGATAAAGAATTTATTTAACCACTTTTAAATCTGAATAATTGTAGAATAATAAAATTCAACTCTATCATTTAGTCAGGGCTTTATTTAATTGGTTCAAATAAAGCTGATATTAATCTTCCTGATACAAATAGATTAAATATAAGAAAATTGGTTCTTGATGAAAATCTAATTTAATAAATTGTGTCTTATAATCATAGAGGACCTAAACCAGAACCATAATATAAATGGTGTTATGTTGATCGAGTATAGAAGAGGATTGAAAAAATTGAATAAGAATAGGTAGATGCTTACAATTTGATTTTGGGAAGAATGCTTAAATTTTTGTAATTGACATGTAAATTAAGAAAATTAGATATTGAAATTAGAAAAGAAATTATTGCTAATAAAAGAAAGTAAATTGAATAATTAAAGGAAGAAGCAACTAAATTGGTTGAGCTCAAAGAAGCTGCATTAAAAGAACACAAAGAATAAGTAAATTATCTTTTTATTTAAGTTATCGCCTGAAGAATAAGAAGAGTTTAATCAAGAAGAATGGGAAGCTAATTTTGATAGTGAACATCCAATGCCAGAAATACCAGAAAATCCAGCTGATGAAATTGATGATGATTATATAGTAGATCAACCTCAATAATGAATATTCATAATAATATCAATTAAATTAATTTACAATTGTAATATTATGTAAAAAATGAACTTATTTTTAAATTTTTTAGATGTTTATAATATGAATTATTGAACCTTAAATAGAAGAAAAGAGAGATGAAACTTATTAAATAAATATTAATGATATCAATCGATATACAACCTTAGACTGAATTCTTAGGAAACAACTATTGGAGAAAATTAAGATAAGTTGAATATAGCAAGGAATTTGAAGAGCAGATTACTAAAACAGTGATTGAAAGAGAAAATAATGATTCTGATTAACAATTTAAACATAAGAAAAGTATCATATAAGCTAAATTTTGTAAATCAAAGGAATTTCTGGCAACAACTTCTCTCGATAAAATAGTAAGGATTTTTTCGATGGATGGATAACTCAAACACTAATTCGAAAATTTTTTAGACTCTGATAAAACAATCTCTTTTAGCTATAATGGAAAGTTTTTAGCTGGAGCAGGTTCGTATGATAAAATAATAAGAATTTGGAATATTGATAGTTAAATACTATAATTCGAACTCAAAGGCCTCAAAAGCAAAATTTCTAAAATTATCTATTTTAATAATAGAGACGATAGAATTATATCAGTTACGTAGGATAATCAAATTTAAATATGGGACATTGAATCAGGGATCATCTTACAAACTTTAATTAGTCAACAAAATTAAATCACAGCAATTCAAATATCTAATGACGATCTTCGTTGCGTAACAGGATCTTTGGATGGGATGATAATAGAATGGGATTTAAAGAATTATCAATTAAAAAAATAATGGAAAGGACATTAAAAGGGATGTTTTGCCTTGAAATATGCTAATGAAGGACACACATTAGTTAGTGGAGGAGCAGATAAGAAAATAAAATTTTGGAATATGGATAAATATAAATTATTCAAATAATTTAATGGGCATACCAATTCGATATATGCCATTGAAGTTGAAAAAGATATAGTAATCAGTTGTTAATTTAATTAAACTTTATTATGGAATATGAAAACTTTAAAAACTATTTAGCAAATATCAAGCACTTAATTGGATTATTGCTTTGTTGAAATGATGAAGGATTCCTTCGTAATAGGAAATAATGGTAATGGAATCAAGGTGTGTAATTTTGATTGAATTTATTTTACTATTCTAAAAACGAATATAATTATTATTAAAATGTTTGGAAAAGTGATTGTCTTGATTGTTTCCATATTAAGTTTATTACTTACATACAATTTCATCAGGACATCGCTTGTATATAAAAATAAACAAGAGGTTGACCAAATCTTAAGTTATTTGAACAAATACTTGACTTAAACTTATTTTAATCCAATAGCAATTAAATCATAAGTAACACTCTAATATTGATTAAGTATTATAGTATAACTCAATTTTGGTCAAACCAGAAGCTGATTATTGCAAAAGATCAGATTTATACAAATTTTACCATTCCGATATTGTGATGAAAGATACCTATACTTTTAGAGAAGCAAGAGGAGTAATAAGAGAAACATTAAGATCTTCTTATTATGATTGCATTCCGTAAATGACATATAAATAAAAAAACACCTAATGTAATAACATAATATAGAATTTGATAGTTTTACCAAGACACGTGTTGCCTGTACAATTAACTTTACCTTTTACTTATTATGATTAATTGGTTCATAAATTTTAAGTAGGTTCAGGTATGAAAATCAAATAATTAGATAGAATCATTATGCTTATTCCAAAAATACAATCACTTAATTACTAGACATGTACTTTCTCATAAAGATAATCTTATGAATAATTAATACTAATATTTAGACGATATTAGAAAGAGAGGACTTGATTAAGATTGTATTAACAATGCTACATTTATCCCTAAGACTTATAGACTTTTTAACAAGCAAGATTGTGAAGAGTTCTTCACATATTTAGATTCACATGAATATAAAACATTAATTGAAAAAGAGGGTCCTCAATTTATAACCAAAGTTGGTTTAGAAGTTCATAGAGGAAGAGGAATTAAGGTGCTCTTTCCAGATGAAACTTAAATTTTGCAAGATAATTATAAACACGGTAAAAGATGTGGAATAGATAAATCTTTGCTTGTTGCTTAAAAATATATAGGAAATCCTATGTTATTTAATGATCACAAGATAGAATTTAGAGTCTATTGGGTACTTGCATCAACCAATCCAATTATTGCTTATGCATATGATAAAACATTAATTAGAAGATGCATTGCTCCTTTTGATAAATTTTCTTTAGATAAGGAAGCACATGTATGCAATACTGCCATTGTTTAGAGCACTTTATAAAAGAAAGGATCAGACTTATTTATGAATGATGACAATTCTGATGAATCTGAATTATATATAGATTGGAAATTAGATTATCTTTAAGATCTTTTAATAAAACAAGGAAAAGTTAAAGACACAAAATGGCTTTAAAAATATTTATATCCAACTATTGATCGTATGATTATCCATGCAATCAGATCAGCATAATAGAAATTCAATAGAGATAGTAGATTAGCTGAATTTTTTGCAGCTGATTTTATAATAACAGAAGATTTATAAATTTATATTATGGAAATGAACTACAATCCATAAACATTAAAGACAACTTTGGCTCGAGAAAAACAGCATGCCAAAATGACTTAAGATATGATTGAAATATAAAATGCATATCTCAGAAGCAAATATTTAAGATTTAAAAAAATTATAACAAGATTGGCCACCAAAATGAGCAAAGAGAAAAGACCTCTTGATTAATTGTTAACAAACAAAACAATCGATGAGATTAATGCAGCTTATGTTGATAAACTGGATTAAGGAATATAAATAAGTGAAAACAATCTATTTAGATTAATAATGGATGAAAATCAACCAGGATTAAAAAAGTACAAAGATCTGATATAATAAAAGTGTATTTGATAGATTTATTTTTGACTCATGTTTCAAATGTATATAATTTCATTCTCCAAATCCATAAAATCTTTAAATATGCTGTTCCGTAAAATTTAAGGACCGCAAACAAAAATTTATTTGTTTTCAAATTTGAAATAATTTTCTATAAATTTTCGAGTGAATTTACTCTTTGTGGTATCACATCTTTCAATTTATTTTCTGCATTTTAAAATCAGAGAGAAATTTTATTTCTTTAAATGATTTTACAACTCTCTGATTTTAAAGATTATCGAATCTCCAATTAATTCTTCTTCAGCTTTAATTGAATAGAATAATGTTATGTATCTATTCAGACTAGGAACTTTCAATAGATTTGGATGTTCAAATAATTCATTATAACACATTAATAAATGATAATTAAGTAAATCCAAAAATGGCAAAATTCCTGTCCCACCACATATCAAAATAATTTGACCATCTTTTAAAAAATCTTTGAAAACTGTTTAATAAGGGCCTTATAAATCGATTATTTCAGGATTTTATTTTGTAATATACTTACTGAATCCATTTGGAGTGTCATAGTACTTGATAAAAAATGAAAGGCAAGCAGATTTAAAATTATTTGTAAATCTAATATTCTCTTTTTTCTCATATAAATCGTTCAAACTTTACATGTATTCAAGTGCTGGTTTTTATAAACATTATACATAAGTGTAAAGACGAGTTGGGATATTTTTATTTGTAATGCATTTAAATACAAAATGATTTGGGGTTATTTTATTTAAATTTACCTCAAATTCTATTTCAGGATGTTAGAATTGAAAGCTATTAATTGTTTCTGTTATTTTAATTGAATTCCTTAATTCCCATCTTGTATTATCTTTCATAGGAAAATTAATCTAATTGCAAAGAGTTCCATAATAATGACCATTAAATTATTCTTATGAGTATTTTGAATGATAGTGTAATATATTTGTTCCTGGAATTTAACTTATTCCATAAAAATATTATCCTATTTCGATAAATTTAACATGCTTCCATATGATTTACCCTCCTGGATGAATATAATTTTAATCCAAACAATAAACTTAATTTTTAAATATAAACCATTATTTATCTGCTAGATTCTCAGATAATAAATCAAAAGTGATTAATTTTTATTCATCTTCTGTTAGGATATTAATCTTTGGAGATTTATAAATTGGAATGATCCACTCTAACACTATTCTCCAAATTATTACAACAATATAAGTAATCCAAATATAAATAAACCATTCTTAAGTTCTATATGACATAAACATTCCAATAAATGATTCCACTTTTCCAATCAAATATGTTATTTATCCAAGAGATGAATGAATTTTTTTATAATAAATTATATTTTTATTTCCTTAAGAATTTCCTAATTAATATTTTACAAAATATCCAAAAAATGCCAATATTACCATCATTAACATTATAGCAGTTCCAATTACTAGATGAAATTGTTTATATTCATTCAATTTAGAATAGTTATCATA